TGTTTATTGATTGCAATTGACTTGATATACTTGTTTATGAGGTGCGCACTTCCTGGAATTCCAGAAACCCTATGGCGAGTTACTCTAGTCGAGTCGGCAAGGGTTTGGTCGATTGGGTAACGAGCCCTGGGTCTCTTGCTTTGTCGAGTGGAGTGATATCTCCTCGACTAATCGGTATACTCGAGTATTACCACCCGTGTTTATTGAGGATTTTGGGCCCAGTAGGGGGTGTGAATGGTGGACGGAGAGTAGTGTAAGTGGTGTTCTACTGGATTGGTTCCTTTACTTGATAGTTGACGGAGTGTCAACTACTACGTGATCAAGCTCCTGATGATGAATGGAAGTTGGCTCCTGAGAGCCATTCGTATCCTTATGCTTTGGAATGATTATTGCTTATTGGATTTTTGTTGATTTTGAAAAACTTTTACACTCGCTCATTTTGAGATTGCTACTTGAAGTGTTATTGCTCACTTTTATGAACTCTTCATGCTCGTTACTTTGCTATATCGAAAACTTGTACTTGTAAATAATGGTCAATTTGCTATTTGGAACCTCACTGGGCTTTTAGCTCATACCACGCTATTTGTTCTCCTTACAGGGGGTACGAGCGAGGCATGAGACATGTAAAGACTAGCATAGTCTAGTTGTTTTTGACTTTTGACTTTTGACTTGTACTCGCGCTATTCCTCGAATGGAACATGTTGTACTTAGATTGTACACGTTTTGAACTAGTTTGGTGTATCGAGGCTTTGTACCTTGATTTGTATCAATGTAAATTATAAGTTTGAATTGTGGATGTTATTTATGGTTCATGGATGTGTGCACATGATTTGAGTGAGTGAGTCCTGGCGAGAGTTGGGCAGGCGGTCCACCAAACCCTTTGGTACGCCTCAGGGGGAGTGGGGTCGTCACAACCTTGGTTTTCAGCATTCTGGAGTCAGCAGTATGAGTCTCGCTGGACTTCAGTTTTTGGAAGAGTGAAAACTTTCGACTTCTGCTTCTGTATGATTCTGTCGAGGGGATTTGGAAACCATGGACCAAGTTCTTTTCCAACATGTGCCTATGTCTGCTGCAAACATTGCTGTAGCACAGGACATGAGCAACACGGCTCATGCATGATACCTTTTATTTTTCTTTTTATTTTTATCAAACGAATTATACCTGGCGATTGGGCGGGTTGGACGGGTTTTGGACGGGTTAATATTGAGTTTTCACTTAAATGGGTTATACCCAACCCGCCCAACTTTAGATTGGGTTGATTTTAGGTTGGGTCATATTGGGTTATCTCAAACCCATGACCCAAATATGACCTAACAAATTAATTAATACATTTTAATACATAAACTTTTTCACATACATTTTAACACACAAATTTTTTTTTCACATATATAAACACATTTTCACATACATAAATGTATTTTCAAAACACACACTCACTTCTTAAATTCCTTGGAAACACATCATAAATAGAATAATATTTTATATTGCTTGTATTGTGAATTTTAGATAATAAATTATACATTTAAATAGATTAGCTAAAAAAATTGTTTACTTTGTACATTTTTTAATATTACTAATTGATTGAAACTTATTTTTGTCATAACTTATTAACACTTTTACTATTCATATCTGTTTTATTGTAAATTGTAATATTCTATGTATATAAATTATTGAATGCTAGATTATATTATACTTGAAAATGTAAGTAAGAGACATATAATTTGTTGTATAATAATTTTGAAATTATAGAAAATAAGTTAGTACTTTAGTCCTTATATTCTCAAAAATTTTGATTCGACGTTGATTCTGCAAGTTGAGTCCTAACTTTACCCATTGATTCAATTAATTTTGTTGAAATTGCCTCTTCCATTAAGTTTAGTTACTTGTGCACACACTTGTTAGAAAACAGGATTTTGTGTCGGAATTTGTTTAGCTAGTGTAGTAATCTAGGTTCGAAGTATATTAGAAGGTATTTTTTTATTGATTTGATATAGTTAGATAATTCATCACCTAATTAATTAGAATCATCTACGATCATACATGATGCTATGGTCATATTAATATTTTAGAATTACCACAATTCTAATATAAAGCAGAAAATATTATATACTTGTAAAAAGTACTAGTATTGGTTCCCAAAAAATTATTAAGGAAAATCCCAAACTTTTTAAGAAACAAATGAGAGGAGAATTCATGAACTATTGACATTTTTACCACAAAAAAAAAAAAGAAAAAAAAGAGGAGGAAAACAACATACTTTTAAAAGGCATTATAAATTATTATAGAAGTTGAGCAAGTTTAACTACTGTTATAAAAGTAAAATAAGCATGAGTTTTTATTTCAATTATCTTTTTTATTTTAAATAAAAATTAAAAAAAATGATTGAAAAAATATATATATATGAGAATTTTGAATTAATGAATTATTAACACATGTCCAAATGTAAATAGTTGGGCATATGTGTATTAAATCTTGTATTTATTATTTTGAATTACTTTTAAACAAGTTGGGTATTGGGTACCCAAATAAAAAACTCAACCCGCCCAATGAATAAGTTGGGTTGCTCTTACCCAATCCAATAAAACCCATAACCCAATTGACCCAACCCATCCTCTAAAATTAATAGGCGGGTTGGGTGGGTTGTTGGGTTTTGGGCTTTTTTGCCACCTCTAAGTTAATGAATCAAACGAGTCACGTGTTATATACTTGGCCACAGAAAAATTAAGCATCTTGACCATAAAATGTTGCTTGTTTAAAATTAAACAAAATATAAATGCCATTACACCTTTTGCTTTCCCAACTCAACGACAGAAACCAATTTGTCAAACTATCATCAATTTTGCTAGTCTTATGGAGTGGCAGATTAGCCATTAAATCTATCTCCAATTTTTCCAATTTTGTCCCTAACTTTTATTTTTGGTTACTTTGATACTTGAACTTATTTTGCAGTTCCAATTAAACATTTATGCGGTGGCACTACTATCTAAAACTAATTTGGCTCCTAATTAACTAACTAAAAGGGATATCATGGGAATGTCATTGTCACTGATGGTACTGTAATAAAACAAGTAAATCATATAAAAAAAAAACTATCAAATAAAACTTTTAAATCATGTAAAAGATCACCACACAAAACTTTTTGAAAATTTAATCTTGTAATTTTTTAATATGATTTACTTGATTTATTACATTCTCGTGCGATATTTTCAAAATACCCCTATTTAGTTGATCAATTTGATTAGTGCTGCCACAGAGGTCCTTATGTGGAACCACAAAATAGGTTCACATATCAAATTAGTTAGAAATAAAAGTTAGGAACTACATTTGCACTGGTACAAAAGTTTATAAACGAAATTGGCTGTTTACCCAAACCAATTTATCAAACTATCACCAATTTTGCCGGTCCTACGGAATGGCGGATTAGCCATTAAAATTTCTTGACTATCAATTGCGTGTCTGCATATAGTTGATATATGGTTTAATTGTTTTTCTTTTTCATTTTTTCCTTTCTCCTATCAATTCATGCCATAGAAATCTCTCCCATATAATATTACCTTGTGGACCAATAACATCAACAGATTCAGTACTATTTTCGAACTTTACATCAGTCACAAAAATCTCAAATTGCTACAAATTACAGTGGTTCTTATGAAAATACCAACCCAAATACAAATACACAATGCTATTAAAGACTAAACATGTCACTGTTCATCCTATTTCTTAACTGAATAAGAGAGAAATTTCCAAGTTGATGATGAATTTTAAAAAATTTCTGCAAAAGGGGTGTTTTAAGTGTAGAATTCCGCCAATGCAATGTCCCATTAAATTTCCAATCTGCAAAAGAAAAAAAAAAAGAATTACTTCATACCTCACATTAAACAGATATGAGGCACGGAGCCTTTTATTTTTCGATCCCAGTCTCATGCGTTTCTTTTCTTTTGGAGTGTGGATTTTGTTTTTTTTTTTTTTTGTGAAATTGTGGAGAACGAATTTTGATAGGTTGCAATTTATTGCTAAATTTATAATTATTTGTCCCTTGATCTTAGCCAAATATTGTGTTAATTGATGAATTCTATTCATATTTGGTTAATGGTCCTAATTGTGTCAAACATTTAGCAATAGATTGCCTAAACTTCAGCCGGAATATGAATGATTTACAGGAGTTGTGAATTGTTTGATTCTCTAACGTATAAGTTCTTGGATGCTAAAGCAGACATTGCAACTTAGCACATGAGCAACATGGCTCATGTATGGTACCATTTTTTCCCTTTTTGTTTTAATCAAACAAGTCACATGTTGCATACTTGACCACAGAAAAAGTAAACATGTTGACCATAAAATGTTGCTTGTTTAAAATGAAATAAAATACTAATGCAATTACACCTTTTACTTTCCCAACTTAACAATAGAAATCAGTTTATCAAACTATCTCCAATTTTTCCAGTCTTATGGAATGGCAGATTAGTCATTAAAATTTCTTGAGTATCAAATACATGTTTGCAAACAGTTGATATATAGTTTAATGGCTTTTCTTTTTCATATTTTTTCCTTTCTCGTGTCAATTTATGCCATAGAAATCCCTCCCCAATAATATGACCCTATGGACCAATAACATTAACAGATTTAGTACTGCTTTCGAACTTTATAGGTTTGGTTTGTTCTTCCACACAATTTAAGAAAAGTTAATTAATTTTGTTGGAAGAATAAATCTAGCATATTATCTTTCTAAAATTCCCTTACATTAAATGGAGTATGATTAATTAGCTTTACATTAAATAAGTTTGGTTATACTCAATAACAACTTACATTAAAAATAAATATTTTAGAGAAAATTATAAGTTAACTACATTCTTCAATTGAATAGTGGATAATAATTTAGAAGAATGAAAAAATAAACCTAACAAAGTGGGACAGACTACAGAGGGAGTAAAATTTAATCAGCAGTTCTATAAATAGGCTCGGTTATCCCTAATAGAAGTATAATCTTCCACTCTCCACAACCAAAATTTTTATGTGCCAATCGCTATACTGTCGTTGGGATGATGGGCATAGTGTTTAAACTTGTCCTTTTGATTCTCATGCTTTGCCCCCTGACAATCAACTCAAGCTTTCAGTACCTTACTTTTGTGCAACAATGGCCGAAAGGCTATTGTACAGCTAATCCAAGCAGATGTCAAAGAAACCCTCTACCAACCGTTTTCACAGTCCATGGTCTTTGGCCGGGCAACTTCACCCAAATTTTGCAAAATTGCAAAATATCTGCATATACTCCACTACAGGTAATTTCTACAGGGCTTTCTTATGTCTTGAACATGAAATATGCACTTACACAGGTTCACTAATGTAATGATCATTCTTGTAAGCAGAATTTCCAGGATTGGAACAATAGAAACTTACGGTGGCCAGACCTCGCCAAACCATCGCCAACTATGCAAAATTTTAAACAGCCGAGGTTTCAATCATTTTGGGAACATGAATGGACAAAGCATGGGACGTGCTCGGAAAACATGTATCCCCAAGCTACATACTTCAGCAGGACTATTCAGCTCAGTCAAGGACATAATATTTTGAACTATCTTGCCACAGGCAACATATCTCCCGGCAGCAATCCTACCGTAAGGTCGGTAAATTCTACTATTTACAGAGCTATCAGTAACCATGTGCCAGATTTGATGTGTGTGACTCCTCCCCGTCAAACTCCAGCCTTGGTAGAAATTGGCATTTGTTTCACTGCTACTACGACAACGATTATTGATTGTCCTTCACAATTTCTGCGAACTGGGAGTTGTGGCACCGGCACCATAAGTTTCCCTGCATAAATCATCTCACCATTTCCACCAAACTTTAGTACTTCTGATTTAAAAATGGCATTGAACATCGTTATTGTGATGGAAGATCATGTAATAAATCAAATGAATTCTGAGATGAAGTGTGTGAAACAAGAATAATGAAGACAAGTAAAAGTTACAACATTACAAGAGAGCTATTATGGTATTATTGACTCGCTGTCGGATTTCATTCATTGTCAGCTTTTACATTTCAAACTAAAGCATTAAACTAAATTCAATCATTAAATTTAGTTTGTTTTCGTTGCTTAAGTATAAGTTTCTGTTGACATTCATCTCTATGACCATGCCTTGAAACATATTTTTTGGTTTGGGGTGACAAACAATGTGTGCAGAACAATTGCACCCAAAAGTTGTTAAAAAAAGGGAGACTTCTATAGTTCTATGAGATGTAGTCAGTTTACACTGCGTTTAGATTGAACTCAATGGAGCACTTATGCACATCAACTGTTCCCCCCTTGTTAACCAATTTAGATCGTGCTGGAAATAACATGCACAATAAATAATTCACGCTCTAAAGCTGAATGTAGATGGATCTTCTTTGGGTAATCCAGGACCTTCAGAAGGAGTGGGGATTATACGCAACATTAAGATTAACAAATTCTGTGGCAGATGCTTTGGCAAATCTAACTAGCTCTATCCAGACAAGTAAAACGTACAATCTTCTCAATTTGCAATGTTGGTTAGCAGCATGCTAAATTTAGATAGAATCCCTTGGTTTTTGTAATCCTCAATTAGCTTGGAAAGGAGTAGTAACCATTGTTTATGTTTTGTTGCTTCTACATTCAAATGTGATTTTCAAGAGGTTAGGTATATGCCTCCCTATTGTCGCGCCCCATTTTTAAATAAAGAAAAATAAATTTTAGTTTAGAAAAATGAAAATTTTGATTATTTTTGATCAAAAAATGAATTTTTGATTTTTAGAAAAATAAATAAAAAATGTGAGTCTAAATGGAACTTGAAAATGCGACGATTTGACCCAAAATAATAGTTTAAAATGGGTTTTTTGCATAAAAAATCGGAGTCGCCACTTGGTATTGAGTTAAGGTGTACCAAGTCACCTAAAAATAAATTTTTAAATAAAATTATGAAAAACTCTTTTTAAACAACTCCTAAGTCTATGAAAATCAGAGAAAGTGTTCGAGAGTCACATTTGAAAAAAGGGAAGGCAAGGATAAATATTCAAAGCACCCTTTCAACCTAGCCAATGTTAGTTACGTGATTTAGTCAAAGATTTTCTTATTTTAACCTAAACATTTATCACATTTTGGAGACATCTATATGAATGCAAACCCTAGATCTAAGATGATATCGGGGGGTTGGAATTTCTCTTTAAAGCTCAATTGGTGCAAATCACATTAATCGTGATGTCCAATAAAGACTCTTTGAAGAGGTCACGAATAATGCACAAATATGATACTCTAAAAAAAGAAAAGGAAAATAATAAAAATAATCATAATTATACAAATATACATGTCTTAAAGGAGTGCATCATGTCGGGCACAGGGGACTAATGTTCGTGACTCAATTTTCTCTTTTAATATAGAGGGAATACGAGCGTG